TGCAGTGTTCCACCCACTTTCTGATTTCAATAGATGTGACATCATATTTCCCGCGTTGAAGACTTCTCCCGTGTTTCTCAGGAAGTTTTCTCCTTTGTTTTCCATCTAGGATACGCGAATAGTGTAGATTTGACATCATTCATCAGGCCACAGTAATTACAATCTTCTGATTCTGCTTTTCTTCGATCGAATAAGTATTTCCTGAAACATCCGTGTTCAGACAAAGCTTAAGTTAAAAAGTAGCTAACTTCTCCATATTGTCGCCTCCCAACCCATTTTACGATGTTAGGAATTAATGCCCACGTCCAGCGCGCCTTTGTACTACGGTCCCACTTACCTTGCCATTCCAATAATTAATTGGCATTGCACGTCTGTGTGAGCCCTTTGATATTTATCAGCTCTTTCTTTAATAAACAGAGTTATTGGCAGAGTACCAGCAATGACGTCTACCTCTTCTGCTGATATGGTTTTATAGGCGCTGCAAATTCTTTAGTGTTTCCTCGTTAGTTTTTTTAGCAGTTTTTTATTATTTATGATTATTTGCCACGATGATGGAGCACCATACAGCTACTAGATATTGCTAGCTAGTACCCTTCTCTTAGAAGCTATTGGTCCTACAACATTAGGCCAAAAAAGGCGGTAACAGTTTTCTTTACCTTTATGATTGTTTCATTAACATGCTTCGCAAAGGTCAGCTTCGTATTTAACCATACCGCAATGTATTTTATGACTCTACTTGGCTTTATCTGGGTATCTTGGATACCGAATTATAATAGTTCTACTTTTCTTTTGGTGGTTAAAAACAATGCTTCTGTTTTCTTTCGAAGCAAATTCCAGGAATCTAATTTTTCCGATGCAAGTTACAGAAATCTCTTATCCAGCCAATTTGAAATTCTTACCATTGCCATGTTTGTTTTATTTATCACAAGGTTTATCTTTCTGTCACTACTACCATAGCTATGTAACCCGCGAATCTAATTAGGGTCATCTGAAACTGGTAAGTTAATTCGAAACACATCTTCATAAAAGTATATTCCACAATGTTGGTATAAGAACTGATCCCTGCGAAACACCTGCTTCCAATATTATTGACATGCCAAATAGGCACGATACTATAATATTTACTAGACTGTTTTGGACTCCTTTCTCTCTTTCTCGTAGGCTGTTTATGTTAAGTTGCCATGAATAGTGCATAGTGAATAGGGATTTTTGAAGTTAAGTGTAATTATGAAGACTAGAGATAAGAAGGCAAATCGGCATACTCAAAATACGGTCCCGAAAAACGCATGCTAATTGAGCTTTTATAATTAACCGTATGGGCGCTGGTACTGCTTACGGTGTTCAACATACATGGGCTTCTTATGGGAATTAGACATAATTTTGTAAAAATAATAAAAATAAACTTGTTTATAGCTAAATAATACTAAATGCTAAATGCTGAAATTTAGTAAGTACAATTTTGTGGCAAAATTTTTTTGAACTGAACCTATGTATAGTTTTAAGAGCAAAATAAAACACAGTTAACAGGTTTTTTATTGTTGTAATACAAGTATAAAAGGAGATTTGGGAATGTACATGGTATTACCTTATCCTTTAATTTCAGCTTTCCCCTTTTTATTTTGCTAACAGTACCATTAGTCAAAATAGTTTCATAATTTTTCGTAATATCTTCTAAAAAGTATAGAACAGCATCATCTCTAGAAAGTGACTTATCGGCGCAATGAACGATATATTCTGCCAATGTTCTAAGCGTTTAGTATCCTATAAAAAATATTTACAATGACACAATTGAGATTCAACAAAAAAATAACAGTAGCAACTCTTAATTTAACATTAAAACTCTATAAAAAAATAAATTTTCTTTTCTAGTAAGTTAAATTTAATGTCCAATTATTGTTGTTTGTAAGTCAGGATCTATGACTGTAAAATTTTATATTATAGAAACTTGTAATAAAATAAACTACATAAGACATAACTACGTAAGATACATATTGTGACTAGTTTACAATAAATATTATATTTAGACATAAATACATTATTTTACTTACATAAGAAGCTTTAAGAAGACATTGAATTGATTTATCCTTGTGTTTTCTTTAGTTTTACATTTGATTTGTATCCTGTTTTACAATCTGGAACGACGTAAATCTTGCTTTGATGTTTTTTGTCACTCATGTTACTTGTACTTAAGTACTTTTTTCATATTATTTTTATTCTTTTCACCAATTTTTTAAAAAAATCACTTCATTTTACATTGACTTACATAGAAAATTGACACCGCTGTTATTCGATCTGCCAACTACAGTCAATTTTGCGAACATTATACAGGGTGTCTGTAAAAGGTCTTTACAAAAACATACCACATATTCCTTAGACCAAAATAAGTCGATTTAAGTAAAATTACCTTTATACAAAGTTGCTTCGTTTGGGCTCCAGAGGGCCTTGAAGTGGCAAAAAAAATGGTATTAAAATTTTGTCCGATAATAATACATAGGCGTAGAACTTGATTTTTTAAATAATTGCACCTTTAAAAATTCTACGCCAATGTAAGAAAAGGAGTTTGAGTATGAAATTTAGATTACGCAACTCATTTACTTTAAAAAAAGTACTCTTGATAAGACCCGATTACTCTCATGGTTTTGACGAAATTTGCATTTTAGTAATTTTAGAACATAAACAATAATTATTAAAATATAAACTTTGTCAAAACCATGAGAGTAAATCGAGTGTTATCAAGGGTACTTTTTTGTAGTAAATGAGTACCCAATCCAAATTTCATACTCAAACCCCTTTTTTTCCATTGGCGTAGAATTTTTAAAGGCGCAATTATTTAAAAAATCAATTTCTACGCCTATGTTTTATTATCGGACAAAATTTTAATACCATTTTTTTTGCCACATAAAACTCTACCAATATACCAAATTTCAGCAAAATCGCATATGCCGTTTTAAATTTATATCGGAAAAACGATTTAAAAATTGTAACTTCAAGGCCCTCTGGAGCCCAAACGAAGCAACTTTGTACAAAGGTAATTTTACTTAAATCGACTTATTTTGGTCTAGGGAATATGTGGTATGTTTTTTTAAAGACCTTTTACAGACACCCTGTATAAAGAAGGACGGAAATTTTAAATTTGACCATTGCCGATTCGCCTCCTTCTCTCTAGTCTTCATAAATCGCATATCGTCTTCTGTGCCGGATCGAGCAATCTGTCGCCGCTTTTGCAATTTTGATGACACAGTTTATAACATCGACCTTCTATAAGCACATATACGTTTTAGATAAGCCACCAGTCCAATCCAACCCAGCTTTAAATCTAATTAGAATTGGTTGCTCAAAAACCTTCTCATTTGCGTCCAAGAGACAGACAGGTCTACATGAAGATAGGCAAAAAAGGTTTTGTATTTCGTGCAGAACTGTTTAATTTAAAATGCAAAGCGCTTTTAGCATAACGTCATCTTCTATACTTATCTACATTAATTGTGGGTGTTATGTGATATAAAACTATGGAAATATAAAATATGAACAAGAAATTGAGTTACAAAATAAATTTAATTTTTGTTACAACTTGGACAATGCTTGGGGCATAATCTCTACACAAGCACATGCTTCTTGAGATTCTATTTGAACGATTAAGGGTTTCTGCCCTGATTATTGTTTCTAACATTGGCTTTTTCTGTAATTTTGTACTTTCCTTTCATTTGTAACTTTGTTAACCATAGCCACATCACGATTAGACATTTTTTAGTTTTTTCATTGTCACAATAAAATTTCTGAAGAAATCTCCTCACTTTTATTTAAACTCTTTAAAAATATCCAAAAATGGGAAACACAAAATCAAAACACTTTAAACTCTTCACATACGTAATTCAAAAATGAACAGCACACAAGCTAAAATTCAAAAAATTAACGCGTAATATTATATCTTTATAATTAGAAATAAAACTGTAGTAAAAAATAATTCTTTTTCAAACGTCAGTCAAATACTGTTTGCGTTATGCCACGTTACGTCATGCACGGAAAGTGCTAAATTCGGTCGAGTATATCGTGGTCGTAGCCAATCTAACAGTTGTAAGGCGAGGATAAGAGAGGTAGCAAAGAGTCTTAGGAAAATTACTAGATTCAAAAGTCCCGCTTTTTTTCGTGCATGAGTGATGCGAAATTGTCGAATAATGGAAAAACTGGATTGTCTTGCGCATGACTAATTATTTATATCCATTACCTTATATATCCTGATCTACGCTGTCTGTTAATGCTTTCCAGCTTTCTTTTTTAACTCTTTTGAAACTGTTTCTTAGACTTTTTTTTATTTCTTCATATAGGACATTTTACCTGACTTAAGCGACAATAACTTTACAATGAATATATTTTTTTGTGTGTACTACCTAATAGTTAATTCAAGAAATAAACACACTAGTTTTTATTTTTTGAAAAATTATTTGAAAAAAGTTATGATTTTATTTTTTAAATAATTGACTCTTAATTTGTCCTACCATGAAGTTATCAAACTGTCGCCTATGACTTTTTGTCTTTCAATCATTTATACGAACCGCCACTAGCCAAAAATGTCTGGAGAAAATGGATAAAAAAGAAGAAGAGGAAATGAATTCGATACTCTAAGTCTGTAGAGATCAGAAGAGAAAGAAGAAAAAATCTTCATTGTATTACATGTCTCCAGCTACCTTCAATTATTGACCCTTATTTTTCTCGTAGAAGATAAAAATAAAATCTGAATAGTTTTCTTTGCGACAGCTCTACTAAAGTTAATGCTTTTTACGGTGAATCGCTATTTAATGTATAAACGACCTTTCAGGGACACTACGTATACTTTTATCGCGTTGAAAATCATTCGCCCTGCATACATTAAACGGGGGATTTTCCAATTAACCGTACATCACACTACAAAATTTTAAGCGACATTATGTCAAAGTTGCGACTGTTGTAATCCATTGTTTGTGTTTTCTTAGATTAGTGTACAGTTGTATGTCTCACCGGTACGACACAGGTTGAAAAATTGCTATTGTGATTGTGATAAATGGTGATTAGAGATAATTATATTATTATTATAGTGCTGCTACAATTATTAAAGGTAAAATTCAGACTGCAATCAACCGTAATTTCCTTCTTTAAATTATTGTTTTTAAAATAGATGTGATTAGTTCCGAAGAAAAAAGGGGTAATTTTTTTTAACATGTAAGAAGCAAAAAATTAGTGTGCAAAACTGGTGGAGGATTATTAATATTTCTAAAACAGGAATTTTTATTTTCAGTCAAATTTCTTAGATAAGAATTTGTAACTTTTGTCGTTATATCGCGCATATATCATTTACAAAACATATTTATTGTTTTTCATAAAAGAAAATACCTTTATATTTTAAACAGAGCTTTCAGGAAAACTAGACAATATTTTAAAGTGTGATGTGTTCCATCATTTTCTTTTGTTAGTTGTGTGGATTGTAGCGGAGAGAAAACTGGTGGAGGATTATAAATATTCCAAAACCAGGAATTTTTATTGTGAGTGAAATTTCTTAGATAAACATGTGTTATGTTTGACGTTATGTCGTGCGTATATGATTTACAAAATATATTTATTGTTTTTCATAAAAAAAATATCTATATATTTTAAACATAGCTTTCAGGAAACCTAGACATTATTTTAAAGTGTGAAATGTTCCATTTTCTTGTGTTAGTTGTGCGGATTGTAGCCGATAGAAAATGAGTAAATATTTTTAATTTTGAAGAAAATCTGTAGACAAGTTAATGATTCCTCGTGGTTTAAATACCAAATGTTGAAGTCATTTTTCAAGTATTTAAAAATGCTGAATTTCTTAAGATGTCTTTAAAACCTGTAGACACTCTTTATGAACTGATTAAAATTAATTCCAAGAGGAGAACGGGGAGAACTATCTGTATCTGATAAACCAATGGATCGATTTTGTGATGATGTTTCCACCTAAAATATTTTGAGATATCCCTATTTTTATTCGAGATTCCGATAGAAGCGAAAATTTTAGGGTCACTCTGTAAAATAATGTGTATAACTAAAAGTGAAAATTTACGAAAACAATTACCATTACGGGTTTTAACATTAATAATTATTTTTGGCTAAAGTAAAAATTTAGAATCTTTTTAAACAAATTATGATGAAGAAGGTAGTAATTTACTATTACATTGATAACAAATGATCATTTATTATAGACGGTGAGAAAAAATATGATTAAATTTTGATTCGAAAAAAAAAAACATCAATCTCTTTAATTAATTTTTTTTAACTAAGTTAGTGGCACTGGATATAAACTGACAGGCTAGTCAATTGTCAGATGAACAAATAAAAATATCTTATAACAAACTTTATTATTTTTCAAACTACATTAAAGTTGCTTTACCTTACTAACTAAAATAACCTGAACTTAATATGGTTTAAATTTGTTTATTTTTTATTTTCCTTTTTGTTTTTTTATTTGTTTTTTTGTTCTTTTTTCTTTTGTCTTTATTTTTTTTTTTTTAACATTTGTTTCAAGTCAGGTTTACAAATAATTTTAATGGTAGCATCTCTGCTTACATGTTTTATTTCTATTTCCTAATTGCAATTTTAATTTGAGTGTTTTGAAGGGAGTCGGACAGTTCGACCACGGGCCAGGTACTTGTTTTAAGTACACCGATCAGTTGGACCACGACCGCTCTTCGAGCGGATTAAGGTTGTATTCTAAGAATTAAAACAATCACTATTTACTTAATATATTATTTATTATTGAGGTGAATTATAATAAGACATAATTTTTACAAAATCTATTTATGATAAAAGGCCATTTCTATATTCATTCTGCTATCTTAAAATAATTTTTTTTCCTACGACCACTTAGGAAAGTGACACATATCATACTATAAAGTCCTATGGAAAGTGCCCTATATCACACGCGTATGAATAAGAATTTACTTTCCACCCGAGTGAGAATATGTTACTTTCCGCAGTAGTTGTTACAAAATGTCAAACACCTAATTTCTATTTTGATCTATGTAATGTCCATATTAATACTAAAATCGATATGATTGTTAAATTATTGAAATTGTTGTAAATTAGATCCTAGATATTTATCTTTAACAATTATTATTAAAATAATTTTAAAATAAATAAGATTGTTTGCTTTTTATTCTGGTTAAACATATAACCCATTAGATCATTCAATTGACGAAAGGCCTGTTAGCTCAGTTGGTTAGAGCATCAAACTATCAAATTTGCCATTTGAGAGACCTGATGAATGACCGCGTTCGAATTTTGGCGAGGCCAGAACTTTTTTTTATTTTTTTTTGTTTTTTAATTTTTTTTTTTTTTTGTTTAAAAAATATGAAAATTGAATAAATACGATTGTTGTTGATTATTTTTTTAAATACATTTTAATTATTATAATAACCTGGTTTTACATTTATTGATGAAAATATTTTGTGGTCGTAGGAAAAATATTGTACATCACTTGTGTAAAAAGTGATTTTCCACACTCGTGTGATAGTCGCACTCGGCTTGTGCCTCGTGCGACAATATTTCCCACTCGTGTGAAAAATGTCACTTTCCACACTCGTAATGTAATATACTATTTCTGTGTTGCACTTTTTAGTTTTTTGGTGGAACATTTTACGGAATTTATTTTAATATATGTTTCTGCTTGAAAGTTTATTAAAATATTTGCAAAATTAAACAAACTTGGGTGAGAACTATAAAAATTAGAATTAAAATGAGAATGAAATGATTCACACGTGTTTGTGGTCCTGTACTCATGAGGAAAATTTATTAATAATTATGTTAATTATTATTTGTTCTATATTTTTCTTTATCTTCTGAGCAGTAAAAAGTTGTACTCATTGCTAGTTCGAAAACTAGATATTTGTTTTTTTAAGATTTTAATTGCTAAAACATGATATCTTGTTTTTAAATAACAAAAAAATTAAAATAAGGAGTTACAAACCTTAAAAATAATCAGGAATAATATTCATTTCAACTACCTGCGAAATAGTCAAAACCTTGAATAGTTAACTATTTTTGTTGAATCCTGATCTCGAGAATATTTTAATATTAATTTGATGAGACCCAATTTTGAGCATTAATAATCCGGTTAGAGACCGAGAGCGTTAGCTCGAGGGCTTTAATCAATTGATTATTAATGCCAAAATTATGTAGAATCAAATTGTAAAATTTAGAAACGAAAATAGTAGAATATTAATCAAGGTCTCAAGGTCGTGTTATATTTGGGACGACTATTTCACTAGACCTAATATTGACTATTTCTTTAGAGAAATAGTCGCTGATATTTGGTCTAGGGAAATAGTCAAAAATAATTTCGATTTGTCGTAATACGTAGGGTGCCAGACGTCACGCTTTTGGCGTATTTGCCACGCTTTTTGTCTTGCTTGTACGCGCAACGCCACAGTACGAAAATGCCACGCTTTTGACAAAAATGCCACTCGTTTATGCAAATGCCACGCTTTTTAATTTAAAGCTGCAGAGGAACCGGATTTGTACAAAAATAGACAAATCTCTGAGTAAAGGACCCTCGTTTTTTTTAGAAAAAAGTGAACCTGATTATATAAAAATGCTTGGTATTTGAACTGAAGCGTCTCAGCGGCCGAGTCTCGACTACTCAAAAACATGTCAAGACGCAAAGCCGACCCCAGCAGTCACATTTATTTCAGTTTAAAATAAGCGTGTTGGATATTACTTAAAAATTTCACAAAAAATTACTCATTTACGAAATTTTTCATAGTCAGCATTTAGATGATTTCGTAAAAGGATCTTGTAAATACCCTTATTCCTTTCGAGATTTATACCATGTATTTGTTTCATCATCATTCTCTTCTTCTAATAACATTAATGCTTTTAAAATATTCCCATTCATTATGGCAACAATAAACTTTTAATTAGACTGCAGTCGATCAGAACACAAAAAGCACTTCGAGTGTGATCTCATTACTACAAAAACGCAAACGCCAGACGCTTCTAGCAAATCCGTTACCGCTAGACGTCGTGGTGAGCCGCGAACGCTGGAAGTCGCTAGGAAATCCCACCTTTACCTAGTTGTAGTATTAAGGGGGTGATGTGATCTGAAGCGTCTGATAAATGTTTTGATGATTTCCAAAATGTTCGATTTTGTGAATTTCACCGTATTGTCAAATGTCAAATTTGTTCTTATTAAGAATTTATTTATTTTTTTAATTTTTTAATTTCTACAGAGCGAATAGTAAAATTAACATTTTTTTTTTGTTGGAGTATTGTAACTAGTCATTATTGACTAACCTACAACTTTAATCGAAAAAAATTAAAATTAAAACAGTTGAACGGCAATAAAAGTCAGTTAGTACCTACATCTATTTAACTTTTTACTCTAAAAGCTGAATAAATGCTATGAGTAAGTGGATAAAGCTCTATAAAAAATACAAAAATTAATTTCTTAATTTTTGTGCATTACAGCTGGTTGATCCCAGTGCTGTTAATTATTTTCTATTAAATCACCAAATGAAAAGATGCGAAAATGGGCAAATCTCACTAGACCCACTGTGCATCCTTCCAAGTAGATTGGCACTTCCTAGCTCGTTAGCCCGCCTACAGATTTAATGGAGTTGACAACGTCGCCAAGAGGTGCTTCTATTTTATTGACCTTGTGTTAGCCAATTCTCACCAAACACAAATATTTTAATAAATGAGAGCATTGGGCAATCGTAGAGTATATTTCGGTGGTCTCATCTTCTTGTTCGCACCCTCTATAGAGTGCGGATTCTGACAGCTCCATTATATAGAGATGCTTTCGTACTTGGCAATGACCAATCAGAATGCCTATAATCAGGCGCAAATTCTGTTTAGTTATAATCAAGTATTTATTTGATATAGTGTTGTCAGGATAACTTAAAAGCTCCCTGGTAAGTCACAGCTTTTTGTTTCATTATAGCTTTCCTTGAATTTTACAAGGGAATGTTCGTTAATTAGGTTTGTCACTACCGATGTTGTCAGTCCAATAGAAGGGCCAGATTCAAAAAGTATTTGGTTGGCTGCCTTCTTGGCTAGTGAATCAGCAAGAGGTTACTTTTCGATATGTCGTCACCT